GGGATACAACAAAGGAAAGAGTGACACTTTTCTGAGTTAACATTTTTGTATTGTTTTGACTTTTGGAAGCATGTTAATGTCCTACATATGTAAAAAATTAAGAAGGATGGGAGGGAGGAGCCTAAAACTAAAAGCAAATGGAAACAAATGAACCCAGTTGTATTTAGATGAATACCATAACCAAACTGAAGGGATAATTAAAAAAGGACTAATCCAAGTGGCTTATGAGCATAGGCTTTGATTATACACATTCGAGTTGGGAGAGGTAATTGCAAACAAATCTCAAACTCTTTTTAGCAGGCTTTTTTTTTTTTTTGTAGTGGTATATACAAACAATTCTGAACTGATTTTAGATATATGATAGGATTAAGCAAATTAGTGAATGAGATGATGTCGTTGAGGGCCAGGATTCTCACTGTGGAAGAAAGCACATGCATATATGGAATAGAGGAAGGCAAAAAAGAACTCTGTGATAATGATTAGAATTGGAGGTATTGGTGTAAACTCATGATCTCTAAAATGTGTGTGCATACATGCTTATATAAGAACACGTGTATGTATGTATGATGTATATGTGTGCGTGTGTATATGTGGATTATATGCATATATTTCCTAGCTCTGTCCTCTGAGAGGGCTTAACTCCCCATAGATTGTCTCCGAGTAGCAATGAGCACACCTAGCACCCAAATCTTGATCTCTAATAACTTTCCCACTAAAAGAAACCAGGGCTGTTCAGAGAAATGGCTGATTTCAGAGCTGGGCATGATAGATACAAGATGAACCTGCAACACCTTATTATGCGAGAAAGTAAGGAAGTCCTGAAAAAAAAGAAATCATGGGGGCATGTCACAAGGACACAGGCTCTAGCTTGACAGATCTCCCGCTTGCCAAACCTGGGACAATTTGAGCATCAAAGTAATTAGGTATAGTAATGAATATAAACCATTGAAAAAATGGAAACCCATGAATCCATACCAATAATAGATAAATTAATGGGGGGGAAGGAGAGAGCACTTGCTTATGGTAGAATGCTGAGTGACAACTGATAAACGTGGAGGGAAGGATAGAATTGGAATGTCATCAGTGTGAGACCATCATAGTAAAGACCAAAGAGAAGAAGAATCCTCAACAGATGCTAAACCTAAGGGGAAATTTTAACCAGGAGCAGTATATTCACATGGTCTTAAATTGTCTCCTCAATTGCTTCCTAGCTGCAAAAGAAAATATAATACCTAGACGGTGGAGAAATCAGACAGCGTCTTGACTGGGTGATCCAAATTAATATCACCAATGAGAGACAAATGAACACTGTATATTGTATACCTCCAGATGTGATGCCCTGAGGAGGACATAACATCACATGTAATATTCCGGCCCGATATGCATGTCTTATATCTTATTATAAGCATTAGAAAAACCAAAACTAAGGGGGGAAAAAGGAGACAGGGAACTTTTGAAGAGTCAACATCCTTCAAAAATGTCAATATCATATAAGAAAGAGACAGACTGTGGAAATAGTCCAGATTAAAGTAGGCTCAGTAGATAACTAAATGTAATACCTAATCCTAAATAAACAAAAAGGCTATGCAGGATTTTATTGGGTCAATTTATAAAATTAGGGTATGGACAGTATCAATACTAAATTTATTAAAGTTAAAAACCGTACTGTGATTATGTATGAGAATAGCCCTAATTCTTAGGAACACTGAAATATTTGGGGATAAAGGGTCATGATATATGTAATTTACTCTCAAGAGACTCCAAAAAGAGATATTGTGTGTGCAAAGAAAGAAAGAGAGAGAGAACACAAATGATGGAGCGTATGGGGTAAAATGTTGACAACGGATGGATCTGGGAGGAGGGTATATGGTGCTCCTTATACTACATCTATTCTCAGAACTTTCTGATAAATTGAAAATTATTTCCAAATGAAAAATTTTTTAAATAAAAAAGAATGTGATCGTTAGTGATGACTGAATGTTCTGCATCCTTGAGAGAGACTTTATCGAGATTTAACAAGGCCATTGCATGCAGAGAACTAGGCTGAGAGGGCCTGGTTCATCTTTGAAAGTCATAGTCTGGAGGCCAAAGTACTGTATTGATAAACAGGCCTGCCGGTTTTCTTGTTCTCTTATTCTAACACTGTTTCTAAGGAATCCAGTAGAACTGCACCCCAAGGCAGTTAACTTAGTTAAGTCCCACCCAGACTCTATTATGTGTCCATCTGTCTCAGAGGAGGCCATCAGACCTAGGTACAGGCCACTGAAAAGAACTGTAGAAAGCAGCACAGACCCAGAGTGTGAGCTACAGGCTCATACTGGTTGAGCTTAATAGAGTTTGTGTAGCTTCCATGCCTGGAGTGGGATAAATTAGGTAGCTTGTCACCCCAGAGCTCTTAGTCTCAGTACTGGCATTGAGAGACTTTGGCAAGAATTTAAAAACAGAAAACTTAGAGCTAAGTTATGAACTGCCCTCCACACCCCACTGGTGATTTACCCAGGTTTCATCAGCCCCAAAAGACATGGTGTTCTTTGCAGTAAATCAGAAAATACTGATACCATTAATTCCATCACTGAAATTAGGAATTTGATAGTAGAGAAGGTAGTTTCATTAAATGCATATATATGTCCACATCTGAAAAGTAATACCTGAAATAGCTTTAAGAAATCATGTTTTCATGTTTTTCCAGTTAAACTTATTTGTTTTTCTTTCACCTTTCTCTTGTTAGCTCCCTAGCATGCAAACAGTAAAAGGTTTTTTAAATTTTCTGAGAAAAAATTTTAATTAAGAAAATGCTATCTTTTTCGTAGTTTTTTCCTTGGGATTTGGGGGAAAAGTGTAATCATATTTGTAGACGACCTTTAGAACAAGGGACACTCCAAGTGTCTGTCATGCTCCCTAGGAGAAACTGTCTTGACGTGTCTTTGGACACTATAGGATAGAAATACTAAGATTAGAATAGGAAGTCAAGGAAATATTTCTTCTAAAGGAGAGCTCTGCAAGGCCTGGGGACAGCAAAAGGAAGTGGTAGAAGCCCCTTTACTTGCCAACTAACATAGGCATGACCTAAAAGAGACCTGAGAGGGCCTTTTGGGGCCATGCTGACCCAGGCCAACCAACGTGTCTGTCTCTCTCCCCCTCTCCTCTCATCTTTAGCATCCCTTTCTTGGCTGAGGGTGTAGGGGCTTTTCTCTGTTTTAGCAAAATTTTGGGGACTTCAGCCAATTCCCATCCTGTCTGAGGAAGTTCATAACAGCCATTCTAGGAGAGTGGATAGAAGAGGAAGCTTGGCCAAGTAGGACAAGGCCCACACTGCCCATTTGCCCAGCTGGGCAGTGAAGACAGACAAGGGAAGAAGGTGTGCCTAAGAGCCCAGGCTCTGGCATTGGATTGACTCTAGGCCTCTCTTTGTTCTGCACAGAGTGATAGCCATCTACAATCTTCATCAACTGTTATCTCTTGGAAAGGGAGAAGTAAAGAAATGTCTTGAGTTCAACAGCACTTATATGTATCTCATTGCTAGAAAGCCAGCTTGAAGGCCCTTCTTCTGTGTAATGATGTGAGTCTGGGACGGTGACCCCTCTAGAAGTTTATAGAGGGGAGCTAGCACCTTCCCTTTCATCACCCCTACCTTTGAAAGGCACTGATTTCATTTTTCTTTTTTAGCTTTATTCAGTTACAATTTTTAAATATTTATTAGAGTGATACCTGAGGCTAAAGCTGGCTGGGAAAGAAAGCCTTTGACAAAATGTATTTAGTTAACAGGTTTCCATCTGTTCAGCCAGTGTCCACATAGGTGTAATATATTGCCTCATGTAAATATTGCATGGCCCATTTATGCCTTGGTTCAGTGTTTCTGTGTTGTCTGTGTGTCTGGTTTGTTTCTGGCATGTGCATGTGTCTATATCAACCGAGTAATTTGGGCAAAGTCAACGCAGCAAGTCATGAAACTCATACTTGAACCCAGACCTTCTGACCTGAAAGCTCATATAGTTGCATATGTGGCACTGGACTCATCCACCTTTATTTGTTCATTGTTGAATTCTGAGCTCCTAGAATGGTGCTTGGCACATGGAAGGCATTTCATAAGTATTTATTAAGCAAATGAGTGATTATTATGATAGTCTTGTGTTTTGACTCAGTCCAATGTTATTTTCATTACAGGCCTGCCTCTGAGAGCTGTCTGCTAACAGCATGTACTCTTAGCAACATTACAGTGCTTATGGAAGAGATGACTCTGCCTTATAGTGATTACTCATTTATTTTCTTAATTGCAATACAGTCTATAGCCATTCTTTCTCTTACTATGTTTTTAATTTTATTTTTCAAGTCTACTATAGATGGTAGTGAAGGATGCTAGGGGTTTCTGAGATCCTGATTTGTCTTATCTGTCTGATGAATTATTGGGGTGGGGGTTTGGATATTTTACAGCTTTTAGATCTCTTCCTCCAGTGGGATTGGTCAACCTACCTTGCTGACTATGGTCAGCCCACCTGCAAGTACCTCCGGGTAAACCCTGTGACAGCTCTGACCCTGCTTGAGAAGTGAGTACCCATCCAGTGGTCTGTGTTGGCGGGGTGGGGAAATGGGGATGGCGGGTTGGTATAGAGGATAATTTTCTCTTTGCCAATACCTTGAAAAGACCGCAAAGAGGCCCCATTCTTAAAGTCTCCATAGGTGCTCTCAGCAGTCTCCATCATTGGATTTGGCAGGCCAGTCTTCCTCTTGTGGCCTCTTAATTCCTGAGCCTTGACAAGCTAGGGCAAGTATGGGTCAATTGGGCTCTGACATTACCTCAGAGCTTACCTAGAGATGACAAGAGGAGAAAGGAAGATGCCTTAGTTTGGGGCTCAGTTCAGCCTGGTGAACAGAGTGAGCCTGGCCCCAGCCATCTGGGGTATGATGATGGATGGAGGACAGCCCCACAGAACAGATGGCTTCTGGTTCCTAGCAGAGAAGCTCCTGAAATTACTGAAACCTTCACCTGCCCCTCCAAGCCCCGACCCTGCCAGATTGAGCTTTACTGCGCTGACTGTCCCAAGAAAGCTGTGTTGGAGGTGCCTAATTCTTGCCTTAGGCAGTCACTGGCCCACAAAAGTCCTGCTACAGGGCTGTAGCATCTCTGACAGAGAGATGCTTCCACTGAGGTTGAGTTAGCCAGGTCCGGAGCATCTCACTAACCAGTACGTCACCCAGATGCTATTGGATAGCAGATGGAATCTGCTATTCATTGTAGCCTGGCTCTGGCTTTAGCTTACCTAGTTGAGAGCTGGCAGACCAGAGACTAAGACCCATGTAAAAGGGAAGCTTTTTCCTGTCATCGAACTAGATAACCGCTGGCTTCTTAGCAGCTTCCTAGGAGAGTGCCTTGCATCTCCACAGTGTAGCAAGTCTACGTATATAGCCAGCCAAGCAGGTCTCAAATCCTAGCAAGGCAAGGATCAGAGTCCAGGAGGCCAGAGTGGAGCCTTAGACAGAAGCAGAGGCTGAGGTGTACCTTCCTACTGTGCAATAGAAGGGGAGGAGGCAGAGGTGTGTGTTTGGAGCCAAGAAACTAAGAGCCCAGAGTTGACTTTCTCCAGATCAATACAGAGACTGATGTTTCCATTTTGACTTTGTTTCCCGTGGTTCTCTCTCCCAATGACCTTCTTCCCTAGGATATCTAGGGAGTAAGTATATTATTCACTTGGGCCTTTTCCATCGCTTTGAGGCAAGTCCTTCCGGTCTCCTCATTGACACTAATGACTACACTAATATCCCTACCCTGTGAGTTGTCCCCACCCTGACATACTAATCTACTAAACCAGTCTGGTGCCAACTGGCTGGCCGCCTCCTCTCTCCTTGGTCCTTAGAGTGACCCTTGGCTTACCAGTTCCTTTGGGGCTGGGAGTGGTAACAGGGATTTTCCCCCACCGGTGCCAAGGTGAAGGGTTGTTCTCAGCCAGCTTCCTGGCACACGCAATACCCTTGCTAGTCCAGGGCCTAGCCCTGACTAGCCCTGGCAGTTCAGCCCTAACACAAGGGAGCTCCTCAGCAGTCGCCCCTCCCTCCCAGTGGTGAGGCCCATGGCTTTAAGATCTCCCATCAGAGACTCTTTATTAGAGGCAAGGCTTCATCCCAGAGTTCTCAGTACCCAGTTGAAATGGCTTTTGAGTTGGTGCTTAGATGTCATATTCATTATGTGTCTCAATGGGCTCTAGGATTCCCTTTGGCCAGTTGCCTCTCAACCGTTCTTTACTCCTCCGTTCCTGAGAATCTCTAGATCCAAGAAGTACTGGCTCATCTACTTCCTATGGATCAACAATAGGGTAAAATAATCAGCCTCTCGGGAGCATTCTGGAGGCCTAGCCAGTAATAAAGCCATGTGCTTAGCCGGAGCGATCAGTGGGGTTTAAAAGCTCCCTTCCAAACACAACAGGGCCAAAGGCCACCCAGGTCACTAAAATCTGTATTTCCCAGCCTCATAGGAATCAATCCCTTTACGTGACCCATT